GACAATTTTTTATGTTTTTTGTACGCCCATGGCTTTTTTCTATTTTTAATTTAAGCCAGAAATCCTTAAGATTCTTTAATTTTTTTGTTTGATTTGTGATTTTTTTTTAATAATTGCAGTCTGTACAAAAATAAAGCAAAAGAATTTTTTCACAATTACAATTGCAAGAAGAAAATTTTTGGAAATCAAACAGTTTTTTTAATTATTTTTAAAATAAACAAGTTGAAAAATCGAAATAGAAAAAAGAGATTATATTTTTTCTCTCAATAATTCGTTGAGATAAATTCGCTAAAATTTACACTGAGTATATTTTTTGGCGCTAGATCAAAAATTGTTGTGGAAGAGGCTTGTTAAAAATAGTTTTTTCAAAATTCGGATTTTCTGGTTGATTTTGTCATATTTTTATGCCAATGGAATTTTTTTTCTATTTTTGAGCTAAGGAAATCGCCTTCAAAATTTGTAAACTTTTATTGAGACTTTGTTAGAAACCAATTTGTGTCTTAAATTCGTATCTGGTACTTTAGTACACTAAATTTAAAAATTTTTATTTTACAAAAATTTAAGCAATAAAAACAATAAATTGATACGAATTGAATATTCAATATGTATTTATATTTGATTTTGTTCAGAACCGAGAAAAGTAACTATGTATATTAAAAAGTTACTGAAAAATCTTTATAAAACAATAATTTTAATAACAAAAAATTTTTTAAATTAAAGAGCACAATTTCGGTTTTAAGACCAAAACTTACCCTAAGCTTTCATCTTCAATTCTGGCCAAATTATCTCTCCACACGTAAATCTCCTTCAAAGCATACATTTGCCGATTATCAAACATTTTTTTACACTTCCTGTACAATTCCAAATGACTATCTTCGTGCAAAATCGGTTTAAAATACCTCTAAAATCATAACAAACATAAAAACAAATAAAACCCTAAACAAACTTACTTTTTTACAAATTTCGGTGCTTCGTTCAATCACCGATCTCAAAAGTTTATCACACTTGTTGGCTTTTTGCAACAATTCTCGCTTCAACATTTTATAAATATAAATAAGATAGTGAGTGTCCTCGCGAGCGTACGATTTTAATTCGTCAGGCAACGGCCGTATCCTCCAATCAGCCAATTGAAATTGTTTATTTGGTGAAACATTGCAAAATTTTTTCAACAAAAAAGCCAACGACAAGGCTGAATATTGCAAAGTTTTCGCTGCTTGATGCGTATCAAACATGTTAACAACATAAATGGATAAATCTCTCTGCAACCACTCGATATCTCTATCAGCCCCGTGAAAAATCTTAACAATGGTGTTTTTGGTGAAGACTTCATTAAGAATGGAGAGTTTATCGCGTAAAGCAAGAGCGTCAATGAGATAATCTTTATCTTGAGTTGATATTTGGAGAAGACAGGTGATTCCCATGAAAGATCGGTAAGAGTGGTGTTCAACATCAACGGCGAATTCACTACAAAGTCTGAGAGTTTCAACCAGTTGGTCTAGTTGCTCTGGTGTGTTTATTTCCACCAAAGGTGTCTCTGCAAGACTTTTAGGGGGGAGTGGCTTTTCGTCGGCTAATTGGGACAATGTGGGTTGAAAACGCTCCAATTCGAATTCGTACGGATGAGAATATCTGAAACAAATATTGTTTTTGTCGTTTTATTAATAGCCTAGTCAAATTAGACAAAAATAGGGCGATCGCTGGAAAAAAAATCCTAGAGAGTTGGATTTTTTTAAAACGCTTTCTTATATCAAAAGTCTCCGAAGGTGGGGGGCGAGCTCGAGGAGGGGGAAGGGGCTAAAGATGTCTTTTTTGGTTTTTTGCTTATATCTCGGAAACTATTACTCCTAACGGTTTTTGCCTGCTTATCAAAATTAAAGCCTAAAAAATTTCCTACAAAAATGGTCATTTGCATTTTTGTTGTAGGACTAACTGTAAGCGAGTTATAAAGCTGACAAAAAACATCATATAAAAAAATGTGCTTTATCCGTATTTAAAACAGAAAAATAAAATCGCCAATGTGATGGGACTTGAAAAGCAAAGAAAGATTATTATTACAAGTCCAAAAGTAAGAAAAAAAAATAACTTTTCTCTCTACTGCGTCAGAATAATGAAGTTTTAATTACAGATTTGCTCGTTTCAGATAAAGCAAAAACAACCCTTGCTATTAAAGTGTTACTTTATCTAGTCAAAAGAGTTTATAAAGAAGTAGTTTAACATCTGCTATAGAAAAAAAGTATTTCCTTTGCTTTTTGGGAGTAAAATCAAAGGTAAAAATTTGTTTCCTTTTTATTGGCTATTATAAAATGTTTTATTAAGTTTAGAATTTTGATTATAAAAGAAATAACTTGAAATTGGCAAAAAAATTCTGGCATTTAAAACTAGTTCTACAATCTTGATTTTTGAAAGCTGTAGAAGTCAAGTCAAGCTAAAAATGTTTTTCCTTTGCAGTTTTGGCGTAAAATCAAAGGTAAACTTTTTTTCCTCTTGTAAACTTAATCCGGAAATATACTGTATACTTACAAAATACATTTCTTAAATAAATTTATTTTATTAATCTTGTGATTTGAAAAAACTGAAAGCAAATTGAATTTATTAGGTGCAACACTTCATTAGAGAGTCTATAAAGTCTTTGGAGTCGTTCTCATATGCTGCATCTTCGTCTTCAACTTAAACATTGAAAACCGATTTACAGTCTTGTTCAGTACAATATTAATAAATAGATGATTTAATATCGATGATTTATTTATTATTCCATAGGCTTAGGTCTCTATAAAGCTAGATAATTACCTTTGTTATGTATAGGATTCAGTTATAGTAGTCTCATTCTTCGCATGGGCTATGTTTATGGACAATTTTAAATGTTGATTTTCATAAAGTGTCGTCTCAGTGCACTTCTGCACTCTCAAAATTCGAAATTTCATGTTTTTAATTTTGTTTTTAAGCGTTTAAGCTCTATTTTATTTCATTAAAATTAGAAAAGTGCACTTATACACTCTCTAAGGATCATATTTTCTAAATTTAATGTTTTTATATCCCTTTAAATGTGTACACCGTTTTATTCCCTTAAAAACTAATTTTCGAAAAATCTGATTTTAGTGCCCCTTTACACCTCTAAAGAATTTTATGTTTATATCTTTGTTTAAACATTCACACCCCATTTAACCCCCTTACAGATTGATTCTCTCTTTCATCCAAAATTTTTATTTATCTCTCCGTTTAAATGTTTACACCTTTCAGGTAGACCAGCTTAGTTGGGGAACGCTCTACACATATAAATACTTTCTATATACTACTGAAATGAGTTTCAAAGGATTTTTAATGCAATTTTATGTAGACTCCAAACTTTTGAAGCCTACGATTAGTCCTACGACAAAAATGAATAGGACCATTTTTGTGATGCAGAAATAGAAAATTCTGCATAAATTACATAAACGATGAGTTTGTATTTATAGACCCTCGTGACTCCCCCTTCCTTTAATGAAGTATTGGACACAGTAAATTCAATTTACTGTCAGTTTTTTTTAAATTACAAGACTAATTCTGTTTTAAATGCAGATAAAGCACATTTTTTTAAATGATGTTTCTTTTCTGCCCTATAACTCGCTTATGGTTAGTCCTACAACAAAAATGCAAAGGACCATTTTTGTAGGAAATTTTGCTAAGAAGATAAAAACTTATAAGAGTGACAATTTCAGAGATATAAGCAAAAAACCAAAAAAAGACACCTTTAACCCCCTCCCCCTTCTCGAGCTCGCCTCCCACCTTCGGGGACTTTTGATATATGTCTACCCAAGTGTAAAGAAAGCGTTTAAAAAAATCCAACTCTAGGATTTTTTTCCACCGATTTGTCTAATTTGACTTTTTCCCCTTACTCTTGTCTGTCTTCATTTTCTTCCAAAAAAATGGCTAGAGGTTTGAGAGAGTTGGGCTTGTCGGTGATGCGCGGACACCACGGCGAGTTGTTCCTGTTGTCAATTTGATCCTTGAAGAATTTCTGGGGCCTGATAATATTCTTCGCTGTTATCAGTTTGATACAATTTTGACCACTTGACTGAAATTACAGTGTTAAAACCCGTTTTAGACTAGAAAATGATTACTTCAACGGCCGAATTCACAGTAATTTGCCTATTCCACGACCCGTTCACAGGCAACTCAGCACTGACTGTTTGCAGAACCACTGGGGCGACCACACTTTTGCGAATTCCGTTCATTTCGTCAATATTATTGGCGACTTTTTCAAGAATGACATCGTTTGCTTCAATCACAAGCTCGATTTTCTCGTCCAAAACGCGATTTCTTAGATTGCTATCAAGATCGTTGAATCTCATAATTTGGTTCATTAAACGCAAGACGTTGTTGCCCTCGTTTTTCATCATTTCTTTGAATGAGTCCGAAATGGTGTAAAAATCCCAGTCACGGCCCGATGGTAGGGCATTGGAGTGCTTGATTGCCTCCATTAGGACTTTAAATCCATCCTGGAACCCCTCATGTTAGTACTTAACCTCAAAATTACCGTGTGCTAAACCTTCGTGAACTGCTCCATGGAGGAGTAGCCCGGGATTATTTCCGCGTCTTTGCTTGTTCCCTCAGGAGCACTGAGGCATTCCTGGGTTTTTTCACTCATTTTCACTTTTTTGTTTGGTTTATTTTAAACATAACCATCATCACATCACAACTTTTTTTTTGACAATTGACAGAAAAAAGACCAGCGTCACAAAAAGTCACTAAAAGCATTTGTGCCATCTAGCAGAAAATAATATAACTAAAGCCTTGCAGAGCTCTGTAGCTCTGCCCCTCAAAAATTCTTTGAGTTTTGAAATTTTATTTTACAACTTGAAATTTTTGTTTAAGAAAATATTCTATCACTATGAAAAAGATTTTGCGCTTTATCAGGATTTGAACACGCAGCAAATGGATATTACGAAATTCGTTCATGAAAACTCAAAATCTTGTAAAAAAGCCTTCAATTCCAGACATCCCTAAATGGTTTTTCATTTCTGAACAACAGCAAACCACATAACAACCTTAAAACCCATCCGCAGATTTGCCAACAAGAAATTACCACCCAGGGTTTGAACTTTTAGGAAAATTACGTTTTTTATGTTGTTGGTAACTAGAATTTTCAGAAATAATTTTGAATGCATAAGGTTGGTTACCCGTTGTTGTTGCCTGCTGTCAACTATCAATTGAATTTTACATACAAGCTGACAGGTGACTTAACCTAAATTTTGACACTAGTTACGATACTGTTTGTTTGTCACCAAAAACCAACCTAACCAAATTTATGGAATAATATCGCAAAATCCTAGGGAGTAATTTCTTGTTGATACAACAATAGCTAAAGAAAAAGATAGAACAAATCAAAATAATTTGTCAATGTTTATATCATTTTTTGGGGGGGAAAACGAGGGAAAAATAAAAAGTAACTAGTTACGTCGCCATATTTGGAGTAAGTACTAGATCTGGTGAAATTTTAATCAGACTGGCAACACTGCAGAAAACACGGAGTTGCAAGAGAGGGGGGTTTTAAAAAAAATAATAAAATCAAAAAATTGCAAACTTTATTTTAATTCGTTTCGCCCCACCTTATTTTTTAGTTTCAAGTGATAAAAATAATAAAATGAACATTAGTTTGATACCTGATACTTCTCACTAAACCTCCCACTTTGGAAGTAAAGTTTGATGAAACGCACTTAATTTGCGTGTGAATTGCGTAGTAAAGTGCCCGAAACTACTTTCTAAATGTTAACAACAAAGTCCTGAAGAGGTCAACAAATAATGTAACACATGTAAGCACCTTTTAATTGTTTGCAATCGCAATTAGCACCCCTGTTTTTAGCAAAATGTCTCCGGAGTACACCGAAATGGTGGCGGCGATAGCCTTTGGGGTCCTCTCTGCAATTTTTGTGAGTGCTTTCGTAGTCCTCGTCATAATCTGCCGAAGACAACGACTTTACTACAAGTCCACATATTTGGACACCCAGAATGAGTTGTCTCGGTAAACTCACAAAGCCACAAACCCAACAATAATCACAAGTTGTAGGCCAGAAGTGATGCTAATTGAGCCGGAAAAAGCTGAACTAGAGTTGGGGGAAGTCCAACTAAACCCAAATCTTGAGCAAATCCTTGCTGACGAACAATGGATTGACGACGCCACTGGCCTAATCCCTCATTGCCTCTCCATTTTAAAAACTTGTAGGTTCTTAACGGAGCGCCTCACAGCGCTGGCCATGGGCACAACGCAGGCCTCGGGGAGCGGCCTCTCCCTCATTGTTGAAGTAAAACAAAACATTGCTTGTCCCAAACTTGACATTTTCTTGTAGAGCGCCAAGAGAATTTCAAGCAGAGTGGACGACATGGTGCGAAGCATGTACCCCCCTCTGGACCCCCGACTCCTCGAAGCCCGGGCTGCGGCCCTGTCTTTGGCAGTCAGTCATCTAGCACTCATCGCGAAATACGAGTGTGGACAAAGAGACAAGAGTTTCACTTGGATTGACAAGTCTTTGGCTGAAATGGATGGACACATGGTGGTATGTTTTAAATTGAAAATTTTGTGGGGGCTCAAGAGGGGGATTGTAGGTTTTACGAGAGGCTGCTATCACTCAGGAGGCTTCGGGCAAAATCCAAAATGTCATAAACGCAAGTTACAACACCAGTGTTTAGGTACAAGTATTTTTAAACTTAGTATTCTTTATTTCATAGTTAAATAAAAGTTTTTTTTTGTAAATAGACGACAGTATAACCCAATTGGTGTTCTTAAAGTAGTGCAATTGAAAATTTGGAGTTAGTACAAAGGTGGGAACCTGCCACTAAATAATAAATTAATTTCATCTAAAACTGTACAAGATCATACAACGTTTCCATAAAAATAATTTACTATCGAAAAATCAAAACCTAGAGTCTGGACAAGTTATTTCCGTTTATCATTATCTTTCAAGATCTTCGATTTGAGATGTTCTTTGTACTCGAGAATAGAACCATTCCATTTCGTGCAGGTTTCTTTCTCACAAACCCAAATTTCATTAGCGACTTGACTGATAAGTCTGAAATCGTGACTGACCAATACCATTCCCCCCTCAAAATCGTTGATAGCCTCAGCTAGAGCATCAATTGTTTCCATATCCAAGTGATTGGTGGGTTCATCAAACAGGAGCAAATGGGGGGCTTGCCAAGCCAACCACGCAAAAACGACTCTACATCTTTGCCCATCTGACAACTGTCTAATGGGGCACACTTGTTGACGCCCTGTTAAACCATACCGTCCGATAATTTTTCGCATTTCTTCCTTTTCCTTCACTTCGGGGAACGATTTCATCATGTATTCCAGAGGCGAGAGATCCAAATCGAGGAGTTCGTGGAGGTGTTGGTGGTATCTGGCGATGCGCAAATGCGAGTTTTTCCGTATCATGCCTTCGGTGGGTACCAACTAAGAAAAATAAAGTTACTAGATGAAAATTAACAAAGTTACTCACATCGCCGTAAAGAAGCTTCAGTAGAGTACTTTTCCCCGCACCATTGGGTCCTACGAGGGCCAGCCTCGTGTCCAGATCAATCCCGAATTCCAGATTTCTATAAATCCAAGGCCCGTCATCGCTATACCGAAAACTAACGTTTTGTACCATGATGACAGGTGGCGGGATTTTCCCACAACTGGGGAAATAAAACGTGACGATTTTATCACTGACCACTTTTTCGGTGAGACCAGCAGCGACCATTTTCGCCAAAGTCTTCTCCTTAGACTGGGCTTGGCGGGCTAATTTAGCCGAACCGTGTCCAAACCTAGCAATATAATTCTGAAAGAAAAATTAGTCTAAATTTATTTATTAAAAAAAAATTACCTTCATGTGATTGATCTGATCTTGTTCCCAATTGTATTGTTTCATTTGATTCTCCAACAACTCCATTCGAGTCCTCACAAAAGCATCGTAATTCCCCGTGTAATACTTCAAGCGTTTTTTATTGACGTGGATAATGTTTGTGCAAACGCCGTTTAAGAAATCTTGTGAGTGCGAAATCAACACCAAAATTCTCTTATAACTGTAATTAACACACATAGAAAAATTGATGATTTGTTAAACACGCCGAGGGGTAAACCACTGTGGAATTGTTTGGAATTCTTTAGAATTCCTTAGAAATACTCATGTGAATGCGCATGCGTTTATTCGCAAAGGCAGTCTTGTGCTTCATTTAACTTATACTTATTTATACTCATATTATAGTTTAAACTATAAATATCACATCAGTTTACTTTTATTTAAATTTGGAATTATACAGGGTGCGCCAGAACTCGCGCCCCAGAGAAAAATGCCATATAAGGTAAGATACCAGGAGCATGGAAAAAATGTTTAAAAAAATTTATCTATAAAAATTTAGAAGTTATGAGGGTTTAAAGTTTGTACTTTGACTCTATTTATTTCTATTGGAAAAATAATTTTCAAAGTTTTTTTGCTATAGTCTTTTAAAAGAGGAGAAAAGGAAGCTGTATCCTAAATTGTAACTCTGTTTAATGTTATTTGCGGCTTTTATTGGCAAAATTTTTGTCCCTTTACTAAATAAGTGTAAAAAAACATATACAAGATCATCAGTATGCTTCAATAGATATAAAAAAATGTCAAATGTCAAAAAATAAATATCAAAATTTTTTGGCAGATAGAATTTTTTAAACATTTTTTTCATGTTCCTGGTATCTTACCTTACTTGAGAACTTTCTCTGGGGCGCGAGTTCTGGCGCACCCTGTATAGATGATAGATAACTAAAAATTACATAATTCTATTAGTTTTCTCATAGTTGAGTTTCAAAATTTTGTAAATATTTTACCTGGGGCAGTTTCATAAATTACAAAATGAAATTATTTTTACTGTCCTATTTTTAGCACGTCTCCTCATGGACTTCAAGCGAGTGTTACACATTTAAGAACTGTTTAATACATAATTAAAAATTTGGTTATTTTTATTTCTTTTTAGTGTTATAATTCTTATA